CAGTATGTTCCCATTTAAATGCAGTGATTTGAAGATTTCATATGCAGTTAATTAGAAATTAAAATCCTATGCAACTAACTACCCATGGAGACTTCTTTCTTTTTTTTGGTATAATTTTTTCACTGTTAGTGGTGTAGATTGTTCGACTATTTTTAAAATGGTATTACGGATTATGGATAATAGATGCCTCACCTACTAGTGGACCATGTCTTGGTGGAGACGATTAAGTCAATGATTTCATCTAAAATGATCAGCAATTAACATTTTATTAATCAAATTTAGGACCACTATATGAGAACAGAATGCTTCAATCTCTCTCTCTCTCTCTCTCTATACACTGAAGTATTTTTTTTTTTTTTGGAGTTACCCAACCCTAATTATCTCTTTGAGACGAGTTGGCTCCCTCCGGTATCTCCACGAGCTTCGACTCTTTGAGCCGGCTATGGGACTAATCCGGAGTGCGGGGGAACAGTGATGGCTAAAGGTTCAGCCCCTTCCTCAAGAATGCATTACCTATACTAATAATATATAAGGAATAGATATTCTACTTACCTTTTTTTATGCCTACTACAACTATTTATCTTCAACACAGTTAAATCAGAATCTCAACTGACTTTTACCATTTCTCTCTCCTCTTAAGATTATGATCCAATAGTGTTGAAGATGAGCAGATAGAATAATGGGCATAAAAAATAGGTATAATATCTTATCCCATAATATAAAAACAATGGGGAAGCATCTTTTGACTTTGGTGTAAAAATAATAAGTCGTATTTAATTTATTATTTCAGTTGTTGATTTTCGCACATCTAACAATTGTAATTTGTTAGAAATTAATAATTAACTAATGAGTATAATTCAATAAATTTCAACAGTTAGATAATACACGAGATCAACATTTAAAATTTGGAGTAAAGCTTCTTATTTTTTTTATTTTTTTTGATAACAGTAAAGCTTCTTATTTTACAGCGGAGTACAAAGATGCTTCCCCAAAAACAATATACATGCCCAATTGCCCTATTAACCACCGTATCTTCCAAATGGCACGCATTTTGCTTTTCCTGCTTTAGTTTTCTTTTGGATTCATCTTTCATCTAATGAATATACCCAATTATATACTTAAAATTAATGTTGGTTTCTATTATAGATCTACAAAGGCATCACCATGTGGCTTGTTTTGGTCCATTTGACTAATATTAGCTAGCTTGTTTTGGTCCATGTTACACACATTGAATAACATGGTGATTAATTTCTCACAACTATTCAAAGACGCATTCGTTAATAATGAAACAAGCAAGGACTCCTCAATAAGATTAATCAAACCGATGATGATTAATTAATTTTCAATTAAATCTCCCGTTTGGAAACATGAAATCATTAACATAGTTTAGCAATAATTTATTATTGTGACAGGTGAGCTGCTAGCTCAATATACCTTTAAGCAGAAGATGAAGTTTAACTGAAAGGAACGAAAAGGAATCGTACTCTTTAGTAGGAACCGTCTTAAAGTGCTTATGCAGTATACTTGTATGCTACATGTGCCTTATTCTCTTCATATGTTCCTTTCTTTTATTGTTTGGACTGGTCACTCACTACCCTATATATTATATATACACAAGTTATTGATTGACATGCTTGTATCTAATAACTATCTTTTTTAATAAATTAAAATGGTTAGATATAAATGAGAATATATATATATATACAAATTATATGAGGAGAGGATCTTTTCTTAACCGTTAATTTTTGCTCATCTAATGACTGTAATTTATTTGAGGTTAATAATTAATTAATTAATTAGTACAACTCAATAAATTATAATATGGATGAAAATCAACAGCTGGGATATAGAGTAAGATTTATTTATCCTACATTGGAGTCAAAAGATCCCTCTTCAATTTACATTGGTGTAAAATAATTTTATCCCTAAAATAAAAGTATAAGTAGCACAGAATTTAACAAAGCAATTGCTAAATCACAAGTCATATATGGTTTTTTTCTTCGTTGGGATCAAGGGGTTTGGTTGAAAGCCACCCGAATTTCTAATCATTCCAATCGGGTTAGTACTTTACTTTAAACAGGGATGAACTTATGGGGGTTGACATGCTTTTAACGTGCAATCTCACTTTGCTTGAATGATCAGTGAAAATTGTTACCCCTCCCTTTTGTTGGCTTAAAGGTCTAAGCAAAAGAGAGTGTGAAACCGACTCTGAGCGTTAATACCAACCTTTCTTTTCCTCAACTCTTTTTAAACTCTAGTAGATTTTTCCACTTTATCAGTTACCTACAACATCAGATTCAGCTGCCACTAATCTCCATCTCTAATTTCAACCTAATTTTCTTTCATACCGTCCATAATTACGCTAAGTTATATATATATTTTCTTTCATACCGTCCATAATTACGCTAAGTTATATATATATATATATATATATATATATATATATATATGGGTTTATATTTTCTTACGTTACATAAGAGAACAATTTTTTCTACAGACACATGAATAGTTTCAAATCAGTTTTTTACTCTTTTTTTTTTAATTACAAGTGGATCCCACGTTGAAAATTGTATCTATGAATGGAGATATGTTTTTTTATGTAATAATAAGAAAACATAAACCCTATATATATATATATATATATATATATATATATATATATATATATAGGTTTTATTAATCTCATGTTAAAAAAGATAAATTATCTCATGTCATAGAGATAAATTTGTGGGCTCCACCACCTGAAAAATAAAAAGAAAAGAAAAGAAAAATGTGGTACAATTATCGAAAGGTGTGTAGGAGAGAAATTTATCACATGTAATAGCATAAGAGTAGTTTTTCCCATGTATATATATATATATATAAGAAAAATATTTCTCAAACAGCTTGAGATAAGTTTATATCCGGCTATCCCAAAATTACGTCGTTTTATTTATTTATTTTCTTATATTAATTGATTTACTTTTGAATGATTATGATTCTCTTTTTCTCTCTCTTCTTTTAACACTATTGATCCATCTTTGTACGGTTATGATTTACTAGCCGGAGATAAGATTATCTCAAGCAGCTTGAGATATGATAAACCCTATATATATATGTGTGTGTGTAAAATCATTTCTACAGCCGCTTTACGTACATCAATGATTGATGTATAGCTATGATTCTCCATATCTAATGCTTTCATCTTTTGTAGGTTATGATTCCCCATATTTAATATTTTCACGTATATATATGGCAAGTATTGACTGCTGTACATATAGCAGCTGTAGAAATATAAACCCTATATATATATATATATATATATATATATATATATATATATATATATATATATATAGAGAGAGTAAACATTTCTACGGCCATTACAAATAAGGTTATCTATATCTACCCTTTATAGCTATGTACTCCCGGGAGTACATAGTTATAAAAGGGTTAACATTTCTTCCGCTACTTGAGATAAGTCTATCTCAAACTACCCCTTTTAATGTACTACGGGTAGTACATAATTATAACGTTGCTTTTTTTTTTTCTTTCTCCTTAGTCACTTTTCAGTAGGAGTGGCAATTTGGGTTGGCCCGCCACTAACCTGCCAAAAACGGGGAAGGGCGATTTGGCCCACCATTAAATTTGGGTTGAAAAAATGAACTCACCCCGTTTTATGATGAGTTGGCGGGTCAACCCCCCAACCCGCCAATTAAAAAGATTAATTAAAATTCAAAAATAAATTATATTTTATGAATTTTTCTAATATTATTTTATTTTATTTCACACTTCTCTTAATTTTTTTCAGTCTCAATCTTAAATGTATATTAATATTCAGTTAAACATTCTTTAGGAACTCATTTGTCTCCATATATAGATAACATTTGTCATAAACAAAATTGTTATTCTTGATTTTTTCAAGGAAGTACTAAGATAAAAAAAATTAGGTATCCTAAAAATTTAATGACAAATGAAATACTACTTAATTGTAAAAAAGAAAAAATTATAACCTGGCAGGTCAACCTGCCCTGCGGTGGGTTAAACCCGTTTTGACCCACTTTTAGGTGCGGCGGGTTGGTAGGTTGAAAACCTCAACCCAACCCGTCCCGTTTTGGTGGATTGGAGAGTTAACCCTCCAGGTTCTACCTATATTGTCACTTCTACTTTTCAGAATTTGTCTGCTGACGTGGAGAGAAAAAAAAGCAACTTTAACATTATAACTATGTATTATCTATGGTACATAGTTAAAACGAATAGCCTGAGATAAGTTTATCTCAAGTGACTGGAGAAATATTTTTATATATATATGAGAAAGATTATACTTACAATCTATTTTCGTTTACAACCCCTTACAACCATATTTTAACCGTTGATTTCCATTAATCAACAATTATCATTTATTGTGTATTAATAATTAATTACTAAGTTTGATTTGCGAAAATAATAATCATTGATGGGCAGAAATCAACAGTTAAGATATGGTTGTAAGAGGTTCTACATGAAAATAGGTTGTAAGTATAATCTTTATATATATATATATATATATATATATATATATATATATATAGGAAAAACTACTCTCCGTCCGCATGAGAGTAGGTTATTTTCCTATAAAGACATTGTACTTTTATGTTTTTTATTTTTATTTTATAATTATGTGGGTCCCACTATATGATTGTGAGAGTAATAGGAGATAATCTCTCTTATGTAACTGTAGATTAATAAAGCCTATATATATATATATATATATATATATATATATATATATATATATATATCGCAAGTTACACTATTAAATATATTCCTACTCATTAAATTCAACATTATATAATTGCAAAAATAAAAATAATCTTTAATTATCGAAGAATCATAGACATCCAACCGAAGCAGCTTGGCATACGCAATATATACCAAAACTCAAGGAAAATAAAATATTCGTTCACAAAAGTAACACCCCAAGCAATAAAAGAAAACATAATAGTAGTATGAGTAGAAGTAAAACAGAAAGAGAACAAAAAGTGTGGTTATGATGGAAGCGTAGAATAAGTGGAGAGAAAGGCGCGTGAGAAAAGGAAAGAACTTTTCTTGTTAGTAACACTTCGAAGGTTGGAAACGCAAGGAAGATTTTTGGTGGCAAACTATTTGGGAGTGTAGTAGCTGTTATAAGAAGAGGGACGGCTTCAAAGTCTTTTGTTGCCATTCATTTCCAAATATATATATATAGAGATATAAACTTGTTCACTCTTAGTCGTCATATGTGTGTGTCTGTTGTGTGTTCAGTGTTTTTTTTTTTGTCTCTCATCAGTTCTGATTTACTGAGTAACAGTTTTTTTTCTTTTTTTTGTGTGTGTGTCTGAGATGGACAACATGGAAGAACAATTTGTGGGTTTGTCCAACAACGATGCCACTCACATCGCAAAGGGAAAACGCACCAAAAGAATGAGGCTTTTGTCTCCTTGTGGTGTTGTTGCTGCAACCACAGTTATGACATCTAGTTGTTCAAGTGCTTCTGGTTGTGATTATGGGTCGTTTTCTTCTTATGAGAGCACTGATCAAGAAGAAGAAGACATGGCTAATTGCTTGATTCTCTTGGCTCAAGGAGGAGGAGCAACTGGAGGAGGGGATTCTAATCATCATCATCATCATCATCATCATCATCAACAGCTAGATGAAGATCATGATCATGATCATGATGGAAATAAGATGGATCAAAAGGGTAGCACTAAGATAGCTATAACCGCTACCAATACCAATACCAAAGCTGGTTTCTTTATTTATGAGTGCAAAACGTGTAACCGAACCTTTCCTTCGTTTCAAGCACTTGGTGGGCACAGGGCAAGTCACAAAAAGCCTAAAGTGAATATGGCGGAGGAAAAGAAACCACCACTTCCTCAACCACCATCACCACCGCCTTCATCACAACCACAAGTAATTACCAATCATGATATTCAATTTCAAGAAGCAGGGCAACAAACCCACATCAAAAGTTCTCTTCAATTGGGGGGGAGTCACGGTCACAAAGCTTCTACTTTCCATGGCAACAAGGCCAAGATTCATGAGTGTTCCATATGTGGCTCAGAATTCACATCAGGGCAAGCATTGGGTGGCCACATGAGGAGGCATAGGGCATCCACAAATACCACCACCACTACTCAGGTGGTAGGCATAAGTACCATCGACACTGCTACCACCACCACCACCGCAGTCAGAGTTCCACCGAGGAGTATTTTGCAATTGGATCTTAACCTTCCAGCGCCGGAAGATGATCTCCGGGAGCCCAAGTTTCAGTTTACGGCAACCAAAAATTCGATGGTGTTGTCTGCTGCTCCGGCTTTGGTGGATTGCCATTATTAGGCCAGGGTGGGAATAGGAAGAATTATTATTATTATTTTGATCAATGATCAATAATGTGAATTATTAGTGTTATTTTAATTTACAATTATTCCTGATTATCGATTCTTTGGATTATTCTTTGGTTTATTAATAATTGTCATTTTGATATATATGATCTACTTGTTGAAGTTGGAATACTTTGAGTAAGTAAGTGGTTAGTGTTCATGGTTGCCTTTCATTCACGAAAAGTGAGTGATAGGGCATCTTTATTTCTTTATTTCTTTTTAGAGTTTTTTTTGGGTCGATGTGGAGTTTTAGTTTTGTTCTTTCTTTTTAAGGGGAGAGTCGAGAGCAACGTGCAAGACTCATGAACAAAGAGGCGTGTGTGTTAGTGTGTGGAGGGAGAGAGGGAGAGAGAGAGAGAGAGAGTGCAGTGGCATGGGATGGGCTTTGGCTAGCTAGGGTTTGGCAGAACCATGACCACAACGAAAAGTTGTGGATTAGGTTCCCTTTGTGTGCTTTTGATTTTATTATAATAAAGCTAAAAGATCTCTTTCTCTTACTTACTCACACTGGCTACCACATTCCCACTCTTTTCATTAATGACAAGAATAAAGGATAAGCAAAAACTGGGTTTGATAAATGCACTCTATGCCACTGCATGCCATATGCACTCCCATCACCATTCTATCTTTATATTTATATGGCTCCCTACCTGTCTCTTGCTATTATTTAAAAGGAGCAGGTTATATTTATAAATTTTTTTGTTTACAAATTCTTACAAACTACACTATGTAGGACCGGTCCTACATTAATCACACAGTGTACGACCGATCCTACATTAGTGTAATTGCAAAAAAAGTTTGTAAACGAATCTTGTCCCTATTTAAAATACACCAATGAGTCAAGCATGTTACTCTATTCCCTGCTCCTCCACCTCTTATAGTCATTAGTTTCACCTAGTTAACAAATTGTTTTGTTTAATTATATTGATAAACATAATTAAATTTCATTTAATTGTATATATAATATATCCTTTTTAATTATTTCTACATATGTATGTATAATGGTTAATTTATAATTAGCTTTGGGATTATCTCGTGGGATTTCATACAAAGTTGGTACTTCTAAATTTACAAAAAAATAAAAATAAAAATAAAAAATGGGTGCTTCCAAGACTAATAACATTCAAGCCACAAAGATTTGATTAGGAGTTATACTATATGGTCCACACTATTTGGAGTTGGACACATCACCCATACGTACTTTTTATCTCACTCAATTGCAGTTATAAACTTCAGCCATATTTATGTAGTTCACATAATGAAAGATGAGAAAACGACAACACGAATAACAAAATATCTGATTTTCTCTCTTCCATGAAAAATAATAATATATAAGAAATGAAATACATGCATATTATTAATTAGTATGCTTTGATTGAGGGCATATATGTCATCATATATAATATTATTTAGTGTGAGATCAAACTTAGCAATGAAGAGAGAGAGAGAGAGAGAGAGATGGAAGACTTTTAAGTCACTTACACTGGCCACTTATCTAAAGTTAGTTATGTGCACGTTTTTGTGAATGCTGGTAAGCGAAGCATGTGAACACATACATTGCGTGAGGCGTCCGAATGCATAAGAAATATGAGAGAAGAGATTACTGGTTGACATTAGCACATGTAGTTGGGGAGGTTCCCTCCATGTCATTTAATCTCACATTATATATTCTCCTTTAAAATTGTACTTTATTTATACAAATATTAATTCTCAAAAAGGAACTTAGACCTTAACACCACAACCATAAACCATTACTTTGCTTGTTTTGTAAAAGGCATATATATTTTAATTTCTGTTATCTTACTCAACTTTCTCTTATCTGTACTTCAACAATATTTCTTCAATTATATATCTTAGCAATAATCGCACCAACTTTTCCTTAATATATAGGATGCACCCATTTATTTTATTTTATTTTATTTTTTTTCTCAATGAAGAAGAAAATCAAGGTTTTTATTCCCAAACAAGAGATGGGTCGTTATTGGGTTTGTTTACTAGTTAAGCTTTTCACTTGGCCTGCTTTCCAAACTACACAACTGGATGGCTGTGATTGAATAGCATAATTAATTGGGTATATCCAGTTGTGTAAGAAATTAACTGAACTAGACTCAAGCAATGCATTGTGTTAAGTGTAGTTGTTATCCTTTTTCGCTTGGACAAGATATGTGTGTTGTGGTAGCATTGGTGATAAAGACAAATGCCTCAAATTCATGAGTTGGTTTACTATGTGGTTTCTTGTCCCTACTTGTAACCCCATAACCAAAAAAGTTGCCATTGGCCGGCCTTAAATTCTATTTCCGTTACTAGCGTTAAACAAAATTTCCACTCAACCAATCAATTGCTTCACTTGCTTAATCCTCTATTCGGTGTTAAGTGTTGACCATAAACAGGGCTTAATTCCCTAATATCATAACCATACCATTCTTTAAGATGCCAATTGGGGTTTGGTCATGCCGTGACGGAACAATAAATGTGGATCTTATATTCCCCCCTTTTACATTGGTGGAATGTAGCTACCTAAGATGTACTTAACTGGTTTGGGTTTGGTTAACTTTTCCATGGGGTATAGGTAGTTACCACAAGTGAAAAGAACCACTATGCTGAGTAGATTTTGACATTGCTTACAAAGTTGTGGATATAAAACCAATACCACATGGTAGTTTTGTTACATACGATAATTGGGATTAACTTTCAATTAGGTAGAGGGTTAGTGCGCTGTGGCAGAGAAGCATCAACAATGTAACTGGCAATTGCCACTAACGTTTGAGTTAAGGCAGTAATAACTCAAAGTTCATGCAAATCCATGGTTGGTTCTGTTGGTTACAAGATTGTTGGCCTAGATTTGCCTAAACTCAGACTAATTAATTGTGTACAAATACTTGGGGCAGTGGCAACAATCCTTTTTTATTATTTAAGGAGAATTAATTAAGAAAAAATTTATCTTTTAAATAAGAAAAAGAATTGACAAAATTGTTTACACCACACACTAAGAAAAAAGTCTTTCAATGACTCTGCTTATTCTAATATTTAGCTTTTGAAATACATGTTTGATGACGATGTATAGGAATAATTTATGGGAATTACTTTTCTTATGTTACATAAAAAAATTATTATCTCCTACACTCACATTTTTCAAATGGATCCCATAAAAAAAATTTTCTCTCACCTTCAACTTTTTTTTTTTTTCTTAATTATTGTTTGAACATGAGATAATACTTCTCTTATGCAACATAAGATAAGTATTACCCATAATTTATACTTGGGAAATTAGAATAGAATTGTATTAGTATAATGATATTTATTTTTTCTGGTACACTTTATACATATGGCCACTAATTTAATTTAATATAGAATGACTTAACGAAAATACGTTGATAGGATTTTTAGTCGTTCTGTAAAACCATAACTAGTTGGTGTGGTGTAGTGGTTATCACGTCAGTTTTACACACTGAAGGTCCCCAGTTCGATCCTGGGCATCAACATTTTTGCATTATCTTTTTTACCTTATTTATATTAACAGCTATAGTAACGTTGATTTGAGTTTTTCCCTTCGACAATTATGTCTTAAAATTTGACTAGCGTCAATCTCGCAATGATGGAACCAATTAAGAGAAATCACAACAGAAACAAGAACATCATGAATTAAGAACGCAATATCAAAATTGGACAAAATTATGATAGCTGAAGTGACTAGCAAAAGAAGAATGACGCAAGTTAAAATAACTCTCCAAAATTTACAGGGTGAACAAACAATGCTGCTAGAATGCACAAATATAATTACTAAATGTCAATCTTCAGCAGGTTCGTTGATTTCAAACCACAGGAAAAAATGATTGAGTTTATCAGAGGCCTTCAAAGAAAAGGTCTTCCCACTTTTATTTGAATATGGTCATTGAACCAAGACATGGAAAACTATAGGTTCATTTTATATTCCGTTTTTATGCTCACCAGGCCAATGGAGGACCTAAAAATTATCTTTTACCATCAACAAAGTTGTACATTACAAAAAACATCTTGAAAACTGAATAGACATTCAAGAAGGGATATGAAAAAAACAAAATGTTTAAATAAGAAACAGTTCCCACATTCCAGACATATCACCATTAGGAGTGCAGAGTGCTTCTTCAATTCGAGCCTCGGGACATAATTACAAGCCTACAGATTGAGTGAAGCTTGAAGTCTGAAGATTTATCATATCATAAGATGGTTATGCACCTTGAACTGATGCAAGTTGCTAGCTCCAAGTTGTCCATTCGGCATATGGAACTTCAAAACATACTGGTGCTTAGTTAGCAAAAACGTTCACCCTCACTCTAGCTGTAACTTCTGGGTGAAGCTTTAACTCTGCAATATATTCTCCTGTTTCCCGGATTTCTGGAAGATCAACAATTCTCTTGTCTAGCTCCCTAGAAATGAATCACAGAAAATCATGAAGCAATTAATCAATCAGACTACAAAACACAGATATGAACTCATTTAGGTGGAAAAACAATTCATCACCCCAACTTTTGGATGTTAAATATCCTTACAAGATCCAGACTGCTGATATATATGCATATTATACATCAACTAGTCATTAAGAACAAGTGGTCCCAAGAACAAAGGATGACCATTTCATTTGTGAACTTTGAACCACATAAACGTTTATGACAAATCAGATGTGCTCGAGTGATATCACGTAAAAGGTAATCAAGTAGCTCATAAAGCAAAGCGCACATCCAGTTTGGAAAATCTCTTAAAAAGCTTTCCAAATTTCTTCTAATTTTTAGAAAACTGTACAGATTGAACACATCCAAAGGAATTCATAAAACTATGCAAGGACCAAAGACCAATTACCCCTATGAAGTTCGGTTGTGTTGTATTTGGACTAACAACTGGAAAGGGAAAAGAGGAAAGAGAAAAATAGCATCATGGATAGTACTGAAATGCCCTTTGAATATTGACAGACGACACCTTTCTTCAAAATTGAAAAGATCCAAACTCAGATAAAAAAAAAAAACAATAATCATCTGAAAATATTTTACCCAAAAAGAGTACAAAAAGTAAACAATTAGCTAGCTGAAACAACAAACACATTACTTAAATTTGTCCCAAACTTTAGAAACTAAGTATTTTACCCACATAAAAGAAAAGGCATCATCTGGAAAGTTATAGGACAATACACAATCAAAGAACATCTATAATGCTGACACAAGAAAATATTTCAGTACATAAGAAATATGGTACCTTTGAAGCTGCGCCTTGATTATGTCAACAAGATCTTGAGCCGTTACACTAAACAGCACGCAGACATTAGACACAAAATCCATAACAAGGGCATAAACTGACTTCTTCTAAATGTGCAGGACAAACCTTACCTTCCAAAAATTTGCTTTCCTTTACCGCCTTTTCGCTTCACCTTGAAAGCCCCAACAGTTTCAAAAATTAGAGCAAGTTGTTGTGCCTCTTCTTTTACCTACAGAAAAGCAAAATTAAATAGCATGACATGTCTAAAAAAGTTATGTAGGAGGAAAAAAGTATATTAACAAATTCAGAAGATAGAACGAAAGTAATTACAATCACAAATGATAAAGAATGCAATTTACTGAATGCAAAATTACTATGGGGAAAACCAGTGAAAGGAATTTACATTCTGCAATATTGAACTCACTGTTACAAGCTTACAGCTCTTGATGCAAGGTTTATAGATAGAGCTTAACATCATAGCATTCCTTACATCCTACTCCTAGTCACTAATGGCAATCATTTGCAGATTACCAGAAGACAAATTTTATCCAAGTAAGGATTAAGCGAAAAGGAAAAATTACCCGTCTTTTCTCAGCCTCAATTCTTTCGTCTTCCAATCTCATTTCCCTGGAGAGAGAAGGTTGAAACAAAGAGGTCAAAAGACAATGCAAGGGAAACTCAATTCAAAATTGCGGCAAACATGCTCTATAGTTAACAGTTTATATGGTACTCATTGCACATAGAAATAGCTAGCCCTCGATTTCCAAAGATAAGCTCTCCAGTATTAAAAGATTCAGAAAAAAAAAAGAGTCTAAATAAAGAAAACGCAGGAATTACTGAATCAAAGTTTTGTCAACCTCAAATAAGTGGAACTATGATTATTATATCATCAAAAAGATACAAAAGCAATCTCATATGGAGATTGCTACAACAAATATCGGGAAAAGGACAACAAAACTTCTTTTTGGCAATCCAAGATGAACAACTAGTATTAAACTGATATTGCAGGATTCACAATTAATAGTCTGGATTTTATTTAAAAAACATGAAAACCCTGTTCAATCCAAAACATCAAAGCCCCATAGATGCAATTAAAGAAAAAAAAAAAATCTTGAAGTCATGATTATTCTAATTAACAACTGTAAGACATCTTTATATTTTCTCCCAATCAAAGCCAGAGGGTTTTAACAGTCTGGTCAGTTCACATAGGCACAAAAATCTCATATCTCAAACGAGCTATTCATAGAGACAAAGTTTATTTTGTATGATACTACAATAACAGAAACGCCCTCAATGGTAACTTATCCAAGCAACCTACTACTGTGTTTCAAGACCATTATTGCCACTACTTACTAGTGGTTCATGTAAATGCACATTCCCAAGCACTAGTGCATAATAATAAAGATGTAACAAATTATAAACTAATGCCTAATAAAGGGCCTTATATGGTTTAATTATAGATTACTTGAGCAACTGAGGAGTGACAATGGATGCCTTTCCTGTGGGAAACAGAAAATTTCTGAAAAACCCAGCCTTCACATCAAGAAGTTGCCCTTTCTTTCCCACGTCAACCACATCTTCCTTCAAGATAATCTGATTTCACAAATAGCATAACAAGTGAATGAAAAAATAAAATAAAAATACACAATATAATGCTGCAAAGGAAAAAGGCAAGTATACCCACATGTTTATAACTACAAAATCCAAATCAAAATCCAAGTAATGTTGAAAACACAAAAAAAAAAAATGTTTGATTTATGGAATAGACTATAGAATGTTGATGTAACCTTTCGAGTTTTCTTTGCCTTCTTCTGAGCAAAGACAAAAAAGCCCGCACTTTTGTTCGGAAATTGAGTAGGACCCTTTGAATTTCCGGTGAAGCAGTGCTGTAACAGTGAAGAAGAAGTGGAGGAGAGAGAAGGTAATGCTGATGCCATTCCTCCTTTTTGCAAACTCACAGTCCCAAACTATGTTCTTATCTCTTCTCCAGTGTTATACGTCGTTTTTAGCTAGACGACATCATAAATTTAAATTATTAAATATAATATAAAAATAAATAATTTTTTTTAATAAATTTTGTTAATATAACTTTTTAATTGATTGCGTCGTCAATTTACTTACTCTTTTTTAAGACACAGTCGGTCTAGTGTAATTATTAACATTATTTTGAAGGGATATGATATTGTTGTATTAATTAGTGTTATTATTAATATCATTATCACTTTGTTTCACTGTCGTTAAATTGATTATGTTAATTCAATGGTTATATTTATTTTCATTTTTAAATGATTCTGATTTTTCAGATTTAATGTGAAACTGTAAAAACATTAAAAATGAGGATCATAACCACATAAAAATAGAAATAAATATAAAACATTAAATATAAAAAAAAAAGTTTTTTAGAAAATTAAATCATAACTGTTGGATCAATATAATCGATTTAATAGTGAAACAAAGTGATAGTGACATTGAGATTAACACTAATTAATAATTCAATATCCTATCTCTATTTTGAATTGTAATAATTGTTCGATTTATCATTATCAATTGTTGTGAATTATTAAACCCGATAAACAGCTAAAAGAGTAGGGTTTCTGTCCGATTGAGGATCAATCTTGTATTTGTGTGTGGGAATATTAGGAAATTTAAATGTCCAATAGGCTAATTACAATTATAGAATAAAAATATATTTACGTTATTGATAGGATACTCTGGATGTATTTGTTTCAAATTCGAAAATAAAAACTATAATATAAGTTACGATTATTAGTTTTTTTTTTGGTGAAAATATTATTAGTTATTTAAAAAGGAAAAAGTATTTCTTCAGTCACCGGAGATAAAAGTATCTCCAGTGAGCCCAAAACGACGTCGTTTTGGGTTATAAAATTAAAAAATTATAATGATAAAGACTAATATAACCCTGCAATATATTAGAATTACAAAAACACCTTGATTTTCGTCTAAAATAACGTTATTTTGGACTCATCGAAAATAACTTATCTCAATTGACTGAAAAAATCTTTTACTCGTTTGAAAAACACTAAAACGGTTTTTTGTGATTTTTATTTCTTAAAAGATATCTACATTTGGGGGGTTCTTCTTTTAGACCAAATCCCACAGACTTATACCAAGCAGAAGTAGTGATGAGCTCCCAATACCGTTTGGTAGTTTATTTGGAAGGGGTATATTTATAAATATTTTGTTTACAAAGTATACTATGTACTATCAAAAGTACATTCGGTTACTAATGTACTTAGGGGTGTGCAAAAAAATAGTTCACTTGTCCTGCTCTTGATCTGACCTTAACCTGACCTATAAATACCTATTTTTTTTAACTGGGTTTAAATACTGACCCACTTTTATTTGAGTCAGTTTTAGACCTAACTTGTTTTAATAATGACCCATTGATCCAAAATTTGACCCATATCCATTATGTGAAAAAAAAGAAAAGAAAAATCACAATTACATTAATAGAAAAGTTTTAACGTAAAACAATAACGTCGAAATTTTTTACGAAAAATATTTCCATAAAAAATTTTCGCAAAAATTTTTGACGAAAAATATTTTCATCAAAAATTATGACTAAAAATATTTCTGTAAAAAAATTTGACGGAAAAGTTCTTTTGTCCAATTTTTTTACGGAATCTAAATTTCGACAAAACACATTTCCATCGAAATTTTTTGACGAAAAAAAAATTCTTCACAATTCTTTACATAATTCAAATTTCAGCGAAAGTTTTCAACGAAAATATTTTCGTTAAACCTTTTGACAAAAAAAAAAATTTCGTTGAAATTTTTAGCGAAACACATTTCCATCGAATATTTTCGACTAAATATTTTCATCAAGTTTTTTGATAAAAAAACATTTCTATCAAAATTTTCAACGGAACACATTTCTGTCAAAAATTTTCGTAAATTTCTTGACAAAAAATATTTCGATAAAAAATTTTGATGGAAAAATTATTCTGTCAAAATTCTTTAGAGAATCTAAGTTTCGTCGAAAGTTTCGAATGAAACATTTCCCTCAAAACAATTTCTGTCGAAATTTTCGTCAGAACACATTCCTATCGAAATTTTGAAAAAAAAAAGCATTCCGTCAAAATTTTTGACGGAATTCTTTTTTCGTTTAAAACATTTGATGAAGGAAATCATTTCCGTCAAATTTTTTTGACGGATACTAAATTTCGATATAAAATTTATTTTTGTAAAAATTTTCATTAGCGAAAAAATTCCGTCGCTTTTCGACAAAAAATATTCCGACGAAAAAATAATTTTGTGACAAAATTTTCGTCGTTTGCAACATAAAAATTTTGACGAAATTTTGTGACGAAACCAAGTCAAAAACGGATCAGGTCGGATTTGACCCACTTCAGAAATCAAGTCAAATCATATTCAATCCGATTCTGAACTAGTTCAAAACAATTCAAACCAAGTCAAACCTGGCTTGGATCAAATTAAAGTCGGTCAGGTCAAAATACCCGACCTATAAAAATCAAGTTGGGTCGAGTCGGCACCAAAACCTGACTCGACCTGACCCATGTACATAGTATAATTATTAAAAATTTGTAAACGAATCCTTATGTGTCTCTTGGAGAGTCTTTATAATTTTAAACTGCGCAGAAGAAGGAAGAATGCATCCAACGCAAAAGCATAAGTACCTGGATTAGAATGGGTTTGGTTATTTTTTTTTTTTAAATTAACTTTAACAAATTAATGTGAAAAGTACTGGTTTTAATTAAGAGTTCTAAAAGAATATCATCTATGCGAATTATGTTGAGGGGTTTATTTAACACACCAGAGGACTTACAAAATTCGGTACATTACTATTTACTTGTCTTGTTTAATCTTCGAAAAGGACCATAAAAATGTATATAAAAAAGGGACCATAAATCGTGGCAGAATTTGAATTAATATTTTGCAGGAACGAAATTACACTTTTATTTTCAAATTAAAGATGGCATGGATTGTTTGGCGTGAACAATTAGAATTCTTTTGGGTATATTTTATGGGATAGGTTAATCTACCAACCACTTTTTTTTGCCTATCTTTGCTTACCACCCTTCAACATTGTTAGATCAAAATCTTAACTAACATTTATCTTTCTCTCTCTTCTTGAGATTCTGATCAAACGACGTTGGAAGATGGTAGACAAAGGTAGGCAGAAAAAGTGATAATAGAATAACTTATCCCATATTTTATAGGATTACTTTCTTTCTTTCTTTCTTTTTTGTAAAAAAAAATAATTTTATGTCGCACATGTAATGAATATGACTCAATAAGAATAATAGAGAGAAAAAAAAATGAGATCGTGCACTTATATATGTATGCAGGAAAAACATTAATCCCACCTCAAAAGAAGACACTGAACGAAAGCTAAGCAATTTTCAGTAAAACTTGTAATATTTTATTCTTGAAATTATCATTATTTATTAAATTTGAGCTTTTTTATTTAGAATAACTTAAATTTTTATGCCACTATCACTTAAAAAATAGCATGTTGTTCATGACTAGCTCTCACCTGGTGGGTTAAGTTCTGTCTCATTGTCAAACCTACACCAGGCACTATAACTATTTGTTGGTGAAGATGCTCATCCAATCCTCTTCTGCTTGTTTTATGGAGAAGTTCATGACTTAGTTACAGCCTTATCTTCTGCCCTCAACTTGAGAAATTCAGTTTACGAGTTCCTAAACGTGGACGAAGTTGGCCATTGTACATATGTTATTCTTATTTTTTATTTTTTAAGTTTTAAACTTTGTTTAGTCAATTTAATTATGCATATCATCATTTCTATTTTCAAAAGCAAGCGCACAGATATATATATATATATATATATATAGGTAGGATCCTTTTACACTAGTGTCAAATTTAAAATTTGACACCTCATCTGAGAGTCATTTGATCAAAAAAGATCAACGACTCTGATTTGTAAGCGTGTGACACCGTTGATATTTTTTTATCTAACGGTTCTCATATGAGGTGTCAAACTTCAAATTTGACACTGGTGTCAAATAATCCTACCTCTATATATAATTGCATTTTAAAATAAAAATGTGCAAAGTATGGGAGAAAGCAAAGAATTCTCCACAGAAGAGGCTGATCTTCTTGAGAGGAGTATTCGTAGATCTAAAGAACAAGAAGGAAGGAGTGTTGTTTCTTATAAAGATTCTCTGTTACATTTAAATGGAGGGTCAAGTGAAGAGAAGGAGACAGAGGTTCTTGAGAACCTAGGATTTGAGGAGGATGAAGAATCCCAGTTCATGGAAGAGTGCAACCAATCTGTTGATGATCCCTTCTGCCCCTCATATCGTTTTGAAAAGGAGATTCACAAAGAAAGCTGCAAACCTTGGAGGATGGCAGTTATTGTGAAACTTTTAGGAAAGCGTGTGGGGGTGAAGTTTTTTCAAAATAGGTTGTTGAAGATGTGGAATTTAAGCGGCTCTTATGAGTTCATTGATATGGAGAATGATTATTTTTTATTTCGGTTTGACAAGATTGAGGACTACAATTTTGTTTTGCAAGAGGGTCCTTGGATTGTAGCTGATCATTATGTAATGGTTCAACGTTGGCGTCCCTTCTTTAACCCTCATGATGATGATTTCAAGAAGCTGGCTGTATGGCTACGTATTCCAGGTCTCCCAATTGAATTCTATACGTCTAAGCACCTATGTAACATAGGTAATCTTTTCGGGAGAACACTCAAGATTGATAGGAATTCAATTCGGAAAGATATCATAGGAGATAAGGAGTTCACAGATCGAGCAAAATTTGCCCGTATTTGTGTGGAAGTTGATCTTCGAAAAGGATTCCTGTCTAAATTCAAAATAGGCAACCGTGTTTTTCCAGTGGGCTATGAAGGTTTGCACCTTGTTTGCTTTGCTTGTGGTAGGTATGGTCACCGCCGTGATTCATGTCCTACCCTTGCTCCTGCTTCGACTAGTACTATTAATCAA